ATAGTCATCCATCGACAAACACGTTTCTAACTTACAGTTCCAAAGACTCTGTTGTAGCCGTAATTTCCTATCCCAGCCTTTATCTTCGTAGGCTTCTTTCAGCTTCATCCATGCTTGCTTTGTGGTAGTAGCTGTGCAGACTTTGGGAAAACAAATCGGTTCTAGCAGCATGCAGATGGAAGTACGAGCACATTGATCCTTATCTGTTGTCACAGTTTCACCTACCTCAGTTCCACTTGTTGTAACTGCACTCCATAGATTCCTGTGTTCTAGATAATTTTGTACTTGAAACGTTCAGTCCTGGTAGTTCACGACTCCCTTCAGCTTTTGGATCCCGGCAAGCAATGCACTTGCTCCTGCTTCGTCATTCGACATCGTTGGCAATGTCCTCACAACACATAGGCAATAAGAAGTACGACCCACCAGCAGATTACAAATCTTTCTATTATACACACTCACAGTTCAAAACGTCCTGGGCCCATAACCTGATGAAATAATGTCAGGAAAGGTGGATGAATTAAGATACACTGTCCGTGTGTGGAACATAGTGCTTTCACGAGTCTTCCATTTATTAGAGAGCGGAAACGGATGGATAAAAAAAACAATAAGCATAAATGTTGCCAACTTATGATGATGATATGATTACCAATCCAACATTATCACATGTCAACACAGGAGAAAATTCCTCCTAGTGAATGCAGTTCTCCAGATTCCACAAACAGGCACATAATCTGGCTGTTACTGGAGGCACTAGAGACAAGACGAATCCTATTCTGTGAACAGGATCTGTTATAGACAACTTGGACTTCATGACAGAACCATACATGAAACTGATCAGATGAGGGCCCTGTGAAGTATTACTGTCTGATCCCTGACCCAAGACCTGCCACAATATTGAATGACCTTTCACCCTTACCACGGATTCATCGCAACTGATATATGTGAGTTTGCTGTCAAGAAAATTGCCTGTAAAATTGATAGCTAGAGGAAATGGCAGAGCACTGTTTTTAAGGTAAAAGTTTGGGTGGTGGAGTGTAAACCCTGTAATTGGGTGAAATACGCACTGGGTCTTCACTGTGAAGAAGGAATGTCTATTCTGCAAGCTCCAGTGCAACAGAGGATTTATAGCAAGCTGTAGCTGGTTTTCTGTGTTAACCATGCTCCAGGAATGCCAACAGAATTAACACAGTGACACTGAAGCAGATGGACCAACAGCATTAACCATCCCATTGATGGCTGTTGTGAATAGGGTCACACTTAAAACCATTCCTAGTAGTTGACCATTTTCTTTGGGATAAAGAAAAGAGAATACATTTCCAAGATGAACAAGGAAGTGATGATCCTGATGACAGCTCCAAAAACACAATGGTAGCTGACCACAAATATTGCACTGGTGGAGAGCACTGAGGATACCATATATCAAAGTTGTGTTGCACGCCTGTCCAAGTTGAAAAGGTGTTGGAAAACAAGAAAACAATTCTGGATACAGTATTCCAGGTTCGCAATGTGATAAAGTGTGGGCTTATGGTGCTGAAACGCACATTAATCATTCTTAAGTTGATTTCTGTCATCAGGAACTGCAGAAGTTGACAGTTTACCCTACACCCCCATGGTCTTACAAAAACAACTAGTGAAACTGACATGTCTGTAACTAGTTAGAAGGGAGCAGTCCTTACATACTTGCAGTATTGGGACAATGTTTGCTACTGTTGAGGCAACAGGAACCAAGTTCTCTGACTGTGTATGGTTGTACATGGACAGCAGGAAAGTGAGAGAGCATTTGTTTATGGATACCGCCGGTACCTGTGGTTGTATAATGACAGAATGACTGTAAGAAGTTTCCCATAATGAAACTGCATTATAGAGCTCAGCCACCCAAGAGTAAGAGTTTTGTGGGAATGCTTCTCTGTTTTCTTTCAAGAGTTTAAAAAAAGGATCATAATTGTTGGAACTAAAAACAGAGGTAATATGGACGCCAAGTAATGGTATCACCCCCAACTAATATGCTAGGTATGGAATTACATTGTGCCTGCCTGACGTGCCTTAGTTTCTGACACGCAACATCTGAACGGGTAGACCAAGTCGAAGTCAGAGTTACTTTACGGCTGGTGGTATACCGCCAGCCAGTTTGGCTTGGCACCAAGACCGTTGAGACTCATCATCAGAGATTTTTTTTTGTGCTACTAAGCCTTTGCAGTCCTAGGCCATATGTAATGTCTTCTCTGATGAGAGGATGGACTTCCTCTTATGAATAGGTTTTGCTTTTGTCAGGTATACATATTGCACATAAATCATAGGTCTACATGGTTATGGGAAATGCCTTTTCATCCCGGAAAATGGTTAGTATGATAGAAGTGATAATTTGGAATGAACCTCTCATGGGGTTAGAAATGTGTCGCTGAGAGCAAAGCCACATCAAGATGTAAGTCTGGCACCTGTTTTCTGAGCCCATGGCGCTGCCTCCAAATGCCATTGTCATTAAATTCTATGACTCTGAGTGGCCTATACATTCTGGCAACAATTTGTTTCATTAAATTATGTATCATTTTTGTAATGACAATTATTTTGTCATTTTCTGATAGCGCTTCAGTGAGCTCTGTCTTGATCTGTTGCACTACAATGGTGAGTTTTAACGTTTCATTGTTAGATAGACTGAGAAAGACTAGGAACAAATGTGTCCCATGTTACGAGCTCGGCTTCCCACATGACAGTTTAGTCTTGCCATGGAGACACTTAAAGTAATAAATTTATCCAGTGTATGTTGGATATTAAAGGACTTAAATGCATGCTTGCAGGCACTGATAGAATCATGACATGCATCTGTCCACCAAAAACAGGTGCAAGCCATGGCCTGGTAGATGACCATGGTATAGAACTCTAAGCGACTCAGTGCAGGGTAGTCTTGAATTGCTCCACCATGCAATCGACAAATGGGAGTTCTCAGCTCTGAAATCTCACAGAGTGAGAGAAGGCTGCCCATTCCACATGCCTGATTATCCATTCTGTGCCCTGCACACATGTATATTTATGTACACACACAGACTCACATGGCTTCAGGGGACTTCAAGTTGATTACATCACAGCCTCCAGTCAGCTGTAACACGTCAGAATGGCAGAACCAAACCAGGTCACACAACCGTTGAAGTGTCTATGTCAGCGTTTTTCAAATTTTCAGCAACTGCAGACCACTATATAGGCTGCCAGTGCACATGCAAGCTGCTCAGTTATCATAACATTCCCCTTATCTGTAAAGAGCATGCAACTATGTTTTTCTCTGAGAATAAGGAGAAAATTTGTGGTTAAATTTTCTGTAACACTTTCCTATAACCATAAATTTAAAGTATTTTTTTAAACAATAATCACAATTTTCTTTCAAATTAGTTTTTTTTATTATTACAAGTCATATAATACTATATGGACTATATAATATAAGGGAACATCTGGTGGACCACCATAGACTACACATTGAGAAAAACTGGTCATATCATCTTGGCCCTGAAAGGGGCACTACTTGGGTATTCATGGCTAATGGTCTGGGCTCCACACCTAGACATGTATATAGGGGTACTGAGAAGGGTCCACTCAACACTCATCTCTTGAATTACCCACAGAGACACACAAGTTGGAAGTCACCCCAATTCTGTGGGAGGGCACTGAGGAGACAGGAAAGATTCCTGCTTGTGAACTCTAGGAGACTTTAGGCACTAAGAAATTAACAATGTAAGAAGAGGAAGGAAAATGAAATGGAAATGTACATGGCAAAACCAATATGAAGATGAGGTCATGATTGTGGGTATTGCTGTGGTGGGTGTTCAGCACATAAAGGAGGACAGTGTGGGAGAGGAAAGAGATGACTACAAAATGATATAGATCATGTAAAATGATGGTAGAAGGCAAAAAACGAAGGAAAGAAACTATCAAAAGCCCCTTTTGCATCCCCCCATCAGGACAAGGACCAACCTATCTTGATGGGTTTTTTAATGAATTCTCAGTAAGCAGTATAGTGGCATTTAATTTAATCAACTTTGTTGCATTGAGCAATATTTAGTATGTGTCAGACTACATTACGAAAATAAAATGAAGAAGTGTTCATCTTTCTTTATCTTCCATGATAGTGCCTGATGTTTATTTGTATTTCATGGAGTCAGAATTAAACAAACTGCATAAATTGTATTCAGTTGTATGAACTAAAGTTGAGTCTGTAGATGAATTATTTCTGGTTAAGTCACTTCACATTAGAAATGAGTTCAGTTCTGAAATTGTCTTGTCTCCAGTACTGTTTGTTAATTTACATTTCAATTTGTTGCATTATTTAAATTTTCCTTGCCTAATATTTCCCTTGTAGAAATGTAATTCTTTTATGAGATTCCACATTCTCACAGTGCTGACAAGAGATATTACTGTGATGGAGTCTAGTCTAGTAGAAGCTTACCCACATTTTGGAGGGACATCATAAACTTCTATTAGATTACAGTGTATTACAACCCAGAAGACAGTAGCTTGAAGTAATGATTTCACATAACACATTAGAGAGTAGTAAATTCATACAGGTGTTGCTGTGAATAATCCAATAAAAGGAAATGTAACATATATTAAACTAATTTGGATCTGTAAATAGAAGATACAGCTCAATTAAGTGGAGTGGCAAGGAGTCTGAAATCCAATTGCTCGATTTTTACATTTTACAGAAAATAGGCAGCTGCAGGATTACATGAACAAGTTTAACAGTTCCACATTTCTGTAGACACTCATATCATGAATGGCTGGATGTTCAGAAGAACATACTTAAGATTACGATATTCTGGGATGTGACACCATGAAACTTAGTAGATAGATGTGAATGTCATGTGGGTACCTGCTGCCTCTATCTTCAGGACAAACTACATGGTGTCACGTCCCAGAAGTCATAATATTCAGTGTCATGAGAACCTCAAATCTCATGCAACATACTTAAATTGAGATTTTAAGTGTAAATCTGAATTTCAACTTTCATTTTTCAGAAATATATACAGAAGAGGAATACATTTGTACTCCTAGGCCACTAGTGGTTGTGTCTGTGCTCACACTTCTTCTCATCAATGTCAGCATGGTTATTGGATTTGTTATCTTTTACCGTGTGCGGAAGAAAACCTGGAGAACAGGAGACTCATCTTTACATAAAATTACTCCTGTTGCGGTCCCAGAAGTATTGTTTCGTAGTGTTTACGGTCAATTGCCACCAAACCCATCATTTGCCAACCTTGGTCATCAGCTTTCAACCTGAACACTCTCAAAGGCTCAAGTACTTTATACTGTCATCATCTTTATATTTATAATGTGCTACCACACTTTTTGCATTTAGTGTGCAGTTTAGTAATGTTTTGCAAGAACAGTATAGTTGTCAACACCAGTCTTCATTGATTGGAAATAACGAAAGTTTGAGTGAAGAATATTGACTGATCTTCAGCAGCCCTTGTCAAAATAAAGAGGAGAGGTAACTGAAGTGTGAAGAAACAGCACTTCCCAGTGTGAAGGAGGGAAGTGTTTCTGGCTGCAGCTCCATTCCATTTCTATGCAGTGATGTATGTGTTAGTATGAATATACACCTAATAATTATCATGTTTTGATATTTTTGTTTTCATGTGCCTAGTTATGCCAGTGTCCCTTCCTCTTCATCAGGATTCACAATATACACACATGAATCATTTCAGGATACCAAACATGTTGTGTGGTGTATGCCTAAAAATACCCTTTCAACAGTGTTATGAGCAAGCTTGAATTGTAGGCAGACTTAGTTTTCTCTCCCCTTCACTGCAAAACACATTTCTTGCCTGTAATTCCTTTAAGTTTGAACCAAGTTTTGGTGCATAAAGTGTGACTTACTCAGGTCTCTTTATCCAAGCCAAAAGTGTTTTATGCAAAATATAGATGTTCTACTAACGAAAGTGTGGTATTTTCAGACATGTACACATCTATTTATTGAATAGATGAGTTAAAATAAAGGAAACGAAAATGGGGAAGTTGAAAACAGTGGCGTATATAAGGGGTTACAAACATTAAAACAATAATGATCTGTTACAGGTGTAAACTCTAAGCACAGACATACCCTAACAGTGTCTACAAAAGTAAGTAAATTATGCTGAAAGAACTGAACTCAAACAAGTAGAAAGCATTACAAGAACAGTCAGTTTGAAAGTAATAAGTGGGAAAGCAACTGTCATTTATATTTTTCATGAAGTGCCATTTCAAGGTCAAGAATCAAATATTTGATTTCCCAGTTTCATTGAGCTAGCAGCCAAATTAAAATCAGAGCTGTCATGCCAAGTCAAGAAACAGTAAATGTGTATTTCAAGCTTTGTATGATGTGAAAATTAACTTTATATGCTAAAATACAAATAATTTATGCACATTCAGAATGTCTAACATTACATAAAAATTGTAAATATGGCATTCTGTGGAAGCAAAATTTCCTCCTCTGTGCTTTCTCAAACAACATGCAAGTCTGTGTGCAATACCTTTGTGAAAGAAGACAAGAGAGAAAAGTTCATGTGTGTCATATTGCATAATCTGTACATATAAATGAATGGTGGTGGGAATTTTAAATGGGAGCATCTATTTAGTACATTTTCTTGCTTCTGTATATTTAAGTAAAACGACTTTCCTATACAAGGTAAAATACCTAGTTCATTGCTATCACTTCTCTCTAATGGAACTTGGAAATTCTCTTATTGATGGATCAAAGGAGCATGGAAGGGATTCTTGAGTAACTGCACAGAAAATAATAGCTTTCCATATGGTATTTGAATACTTGGTGACTTTTATATTATTTTTTGCTTTAATAGAATAAAATTTTCTGTATACCTCTGATATAACTTTAGTTATTATTTACCTTATTCATCTTACAGCTGTCAGGAGGACCCTGCTGAATGAAGTGAGTTGGTTATAAACAGTAACTGAAAGTCATTCATTTATATGTTTGTTTATTACTGTATCTCTATTTAAAGAGCTAGAAGTGTGAAGATAAATACAATAGGTTATGCTGAGGTTCCCCTCTGCTTAATTAGGCACTACACCTTGAAGACATATAGGGGATTGGAGATATACATACATACATAATTCATAAATTCACTGATCCATTGTCCGAATGGGACCGGATATTGAATTCGTCATAATAAGACTTGATTGCAGAAATACAGTCATGTCAACAGCAAACAACCACACACAACCAAAAGTACCAAATAACCATAATTAACATTGTAATTTATAAACAAAATTATAAGGAATATAGTTATTAAATGTTATACATGCTTAGCAGGAATATATACATCTATTGAATAAAAAGCATTTGTTGTGAGGAAACTTTTCAGTGTGCGTTTAAAAATCTTCACATTGTCACTCATCCTTTGTATATTTTGAGGAAGATTATTATAAACCATAATGGATGAATATCACACGCCTCTCTGGATTGAAGATAATCTCACTGATGACACATGTAGCTTTCCAAACTGTCTAGTGTTTATATGATGAATATTATTGTTGGTTTGAAAAAAAATTGTGATTTCTGACAACAAACTTCAATATAGAATAGGTATATATGCTAGGAACCATCAAAATACCCAACCTCTTAAAACCTCTACACGAGTTTCCAGGACTCAATCTCAGCATAACCCTAATCGCTCTTTTTTGGGCAACAAATAAACTTTTCATAACTGGAGAAGAACCCCAGAATATAATACTATATTCAGGCTGAGACTGGTAATAAGAAAAATAGACCATTCAAAGAGCTTGTAACTTCCTGAGCATAAAACACGCTGTATTCAGTTTCTTTAATAATTTTTCAGATTGTTTTTTCCAATTAAGTTGACAATCTAAATACATACCTAAAAAATTAACATTATCAACATTTCTAAGTCTAAAATTATTATATGTTACCGATAATGTATACTCTGGAGACTTTTCCCTCAAGGTTAAGTCTATATGTAGACAAAATTATTAGGGATTGTCAGTGTGGGTTTCACCATAACAGATCAACTACTGATCAGATTTCTTGTATTCATCAGATATGCAAGAGAAAAATGGGAGTACAATGAGACAACACATCAGTTATTCACAGACATCAAGAAAGCCTTTGTTTCAATTAGGAAGGAAGCTTTGTATGATATTCTTGTAGAGTTTGGGGTACCCATGAAATTAGTTAGACTGATTAACATATATTTGAATGAGGCATATAGTAAAGTCCATTTGTTTGATATTTCTCCTATCCAGAATGGTCTAAAACAAGGAGAAGCTTTATTGCCACTATGCTTCAAGTTTTCTTTAGAGTATGCCATTAGTAAGATCCAGGAAAATCAGGTGGGACTGAAATTAAATGGAACACATCAGCTGCTGGTCTCTGCTGATGCTATGAATCTACTGGGAGATAACAAACCTCACAACAGAGGATTCAATATCAAATGAACACATAGTTTTGGCTCCCTATTACCGAAATTGAAATAGAGAGGGTAATAAAAAGTCTAAGAGGTAAACCATCTGCAGGCTTTGATGAAATTCCAGAATATTTAGCCAAGAGATGTTCACATTACATATTTTCATATTTTCAATGCCTCTTTAAAATCGGGAGTCTTTCCGGATAAGATGAAAATAGCTAAAGTAAGACTACTGTAGAAAAAAGGGGAAAGACAGAAGTTTGTTATTATAGGCCAATATCAGTTTTGCCGGTTTTCTCCAAAATACTAGAAAAATTGGTGTATAACAAAATATACCATATTAACAGAAGTACAAAATGGATTTAGGCAAAACAAATCAACAGAAACAGCTTCCCAGGCCTTCACTGAGAGTATACAGGAGGCGACTGATAAACAGTTACACATTATAGGAATATTTTTTGACTTGATAAAGTCATATGATGTGATAGACCACAGTGTATTACTAGATAAATTAAATTACTATGGGTTCAGAGGGGTTACTAATTTATGGTTTAAATCTTATTTATCTCACAGAGTACAATTTGTTGAAATAAATCACCTGAATAAAAATATCCAAAATACTATACATCACCCTTGAGAGATACAATACATGGGGTACCACAGGGGTCAATTCTGGGACCACTACTGTTTCTACTATATATAAATGATCTCCCACTAAATGTACAAGGTGCGGAAATGGTACTGTTTGCAGACGATTAATGTACTTGTTATTGATAAAGATAAAGGTGGAGCTCAACCAAAAATAACTAAGATCATGAAACAGCTTGAAACATGGTTTCAGGTAAATAACCTTTTAATAAATATTAAAAAAACAGCTGCTGTGTCATTAGATCTTAGTAAAAATAGGTTTGTAGTTAGACCGCAGATACTCTATAATAACTTGGAAATTGCTTACTCATCGGACTGAGATTTTTAGGTACACATATTATAGAAAACCTTAACTTGAATACCCACATCCAGTCATTATGTTCAAAACTTAGTAAAACATCTTACAGGTATATAATTAAATCACTAAGAGGAGTTTTGAGTCCAAATATGTTAAGAAGCATTTCTTTTGGAAAGTTTCAATTGTTATTGTGATATGGAATAATATTTTGGGGGGTGAAGGTGATAGTATAAAGATGTAAGCACGGTGCCAAATCCCAGAAAACTGCTTTCTTCGTAGTATAAAGATATTTCAAATACAGAAGAGGGTGTTGTGAATAATTAGTGGACTTGGTAAACAAGAGTCATGCAGGCAAATTTTTAAAGATTATGGCATCCTCACGGTCACATCTTTGTATATGTTAAAGATGTTATGTTACATAAAAAGCACAAAGCAGATTTGATCCAAAATATAAATATTCATAGTTATAATACAAGAATAAACATAGATTTTCATGTTCAGTTCTGCAGAACTACATTATTTAAAAAAAAATATGGTAAATATGGGGATAGAATTGTATAGTAAGGTGCCAAACAAAATAAAAAACTCAGTGGGTTTTTCAGCTTTTAAAAAAACTTAAAAATCATTCTTATTGAAACATTATTTTTATATGATAAATGAATTTGTTAATTTTAATAAAAAGTGGATGATGCAAGTACTTATGTTTGGATGTCATAGCCATTCATGAGCTGTATATAGTAGTTTGTATATTTTTTGGAATGTTGTATTCATATTTTGCTTATGATTGTAACAAATGTTGGTAGTATGCTTGTAACTTTGTAGATTTATTTTGTTAACTTGTATTACCGAATGACGTGTCCAAGTGTTACTATGTAGCAAAATGGATGAAATAAAATACAATACAATACAACTAACCTACCACAAAGAAAAGCACAGAAACTTGAACTGACGCTGGTAAGAAGGTTGGTTTAGAAGTAAACAGAGTAAACTGAGTCCATTTTACTGTATCGTCACGATAATTGAGAGCAAAATAATAACATATAAGTACCTAACATATCCTTTGAAAATGTGACACAGTGCATATATTTGGGAATGACAGTAGCAAATCAAAATTTGATTTGGAAGGAAATTGAGAGGAGACTGAATTCCCGTTGTCCTTGCTAATGTCACGTGCACAGGGTACGCCTGACGAAAATAACGGGCTCTAGACCAGATGAATGGGTTTATTCTTTTACAATTACAGACGTGATAAAATATCTTTAAACGAATCTAAGAAAGAATGGGAGATATGGTCTTGGTTGATCTACCGCAGGATAGGCACCAGTGGAGTGTTCTTGTGAACACGATAATGAACCTTCGGATTCCATAAAATTTTAGGAAAATCTTGAGTTTCTGAGCGAGTGGTCAACGTCCCAACGCCATGAGGGTATTAATGTCAGTAAACTCAGACCACGGATCTTCCGATCACCTTTGGCAATGAATCACGGATCACTAAGGAGGTAAGCTATTAGGATCTCACGAGCCGTGTCCCAGTCAGGGTCCAGTAACATGAAAATGAATCACTGCACGTATGATTGTTCATTGGTGGTGGTTGTGGTTGGGAATAGCACCGTTTTGGTGGTTTGGAAATAACAATTTAACTTTTTGTATATAGTTGAGAATCGACTTTTTTTGGTTAATGTACTATTAAATGGTTCGAAGATGACTATTCTTTCAAAAAAGAAGGTAAATCAAGGAAAACCAGAAGAACCCTCGGATTCTTCAGCTCATCATGGAGGATCTCATTCTCGTACGTTGGCTATGGGATCAATGCCAAATCATTCTCAGGTAATCCTTTTGTAATTAAATTTATTTGGCATGTTATATATGTTACATAAATTTTAGTGCCTAAGTACGTATGTCTCATAGCATATTAAAATTATTAGTAATTGCTGGCAAAGTCATGACATTAGACATGCAATACCTCGGAAGAAAAAAAAAACACTAGTGTGACGTTACGATCCATAATTAGTAGGTGGGGCGGACCATAGTAAAGGTTGTTATTATCATATCAGGCTGTAATGGAGTACAAGACAATATAATGCACGTATAGGGTGAATTTTTGGTATTAAGTATAACACCCATATGGGCTACAGTCTAAAATTGCGTTTCTGCCCAATGCGTAATTATTTACTTTGCACATTTCAATATAATGCTTATGTTCATTTATTCTGCATAAAACTGTTTCCTTATTTCGAAATTTTGTGATGGCAAACAAATCTCATTCCAAACAGTATGTTGGGAATGCCCAAGCTTTGTCAATCTGTTTTATTAACTGTTCGAGAAATTGAACACAACACATGGTAAACATAAAAGTGAGATATAAAAAAGAAGTAAATAGGGTTTACTGGCATTAATTCAAGAATTCTCGGTAACAAAAATAGCCTTGAAAGTGATCTGATTGCAGTAGGTGCTAGTTGGTATTTATAACTACTAAGAAGGTATTTGCATTTATTCTTTATTGGAAGAAACTGTTGTACAAATATGTTTTTGGACATTATTCATCATCCTGTCTTTATCTAAAAACACTGTCTTGTTTATTTTTCAAAACACTTTCGGAGACTGAATTCTGTCTCCGTCTTCAGGTAACACCTCAGTTTGGCCCAATCGATAGAGCTAGTCCTTATCTCCAGACACCTATGTCAGCCCCAAGATGGGGTATACAAGCCAAGCACAGCACAACCCATCTGTGAGAGCTAAGAAAACTTGAAATTATTGAAACTCCATGCATATGAGGCCTTGCATCATAGTATCTCGATTTAAATCATCGCTGGAGGGAAGCAATATTTCTTATGGAGTTGTAATTTCTTGACTTCTGCTTTGATGACAGGGGTCCAGATGAGAGAGATATTAACACTGGGTTGACTGATCGAATAGTCCAGCAGAGACATGTGGACTGATTTCTTGTATTCCTTGTATGTGGTGTTTGGCTCAATCTGCAAGACCTTCGCTCCATTCCAACATATGTTGTGGCTTTATAAGCATGTTGGGCTAATTTTGATTTTTCAAGCAAACCTCGTGTCAGGTTGTATTTGTGCTCTTTAATGTGTACTTCTAAAGGGCTGCTTGTTTCACTGATGTAACATCTGCCATAATCACATGGGATGCTGTACACACACTGCTTCGTCTGCTGGGCATCTCCTACCATTCCAGTTTTCATCAGTGTCCCACAGAGTGTAGTCTTGAAGATAATTCTGAGGTCGAAGCGGTTCGTGGCTTGCCACTTACACTGCTGAAAATGCATAATTAATTCTGTATCAGTGTTTAATCTGTGGATTTCTACATCCACTTCCCCATACATCTTCATAGCGTAGTGCTTAATTAGTTAAGCACAGGAACAATTTTACCTTATCATGGAGCTGAGCTCTTCTGGAGGAGCCGCCAGTTCTGCAGCTACTCATGAATTTCCCAGCATTTTATGGAACCCGAAGGTCCATCGCTGTGTTCACAAGAGCCCTCCACTGGTCCCTATCCTGAGCCAGATTATCCAATCCATCCCATCCCATTCTTTCTCTCTAAGATCCATTCCAATATTGTCCAATCACTTATGCCTTGGTCTTCCCTGTGGTCTCTTTCCATCTGGCTTTCCCACCAATATCCTATACGCATTCCTCGTCTCCCCCATTCGTGCTACATGACCTGCCCACCTCATCCTCCTTGACTTGAACATTCTAATTGGAGAATACTTGGAGAAGAGTACAAGTTATGAAGTTCCTCATTATGCAGTTTTCTCCAACCTCCTGTCACTTCATCTCTCTTCGTTTCAAATATTCTCCTCAACACTCTCAGTCTATGTTCCTACCTTAATGTCAGAGACCAAGTTTCACACCCATACAGAACCACAGGCAAAATTATAGTTTTGTATATTCTAATTTTTATGTTTTTGGACAACAGACGAGAAGACAAAAGGTTCTGGACTGAATGGTAGCAAGCATTACCGGAGTTCACTCGCCTCTTAATTTCCTCCTGAATCAGTGTTTAATCAGAAGTATGGGGAAGGAATACAGCAAATTTTTAGATTGTTCAAGTCTTTTGATATTTATTACCATGCTGCCGCTCCCCCATACACATTCATGGTGTAATGCTTAAATGGTTAAGCAGAGGGACAACTTTACCTTTACATTACCTGCTCATGTACAGCATACCTGGGATACTCTTGTGATATGTTTGAACATGTGTTTATAAAATCACTAATTCCCAAATTAATTTTTTAGTATTGTGTGTAACACATTTTTGCCAAACATGATGATGCAAAAGCTTTGAATATATAGGCTTGATACCATCGCCACTTCATGTCACGCAATATTTGTACTTGCTGATTTAATAGCCATGTTGTCTATTACATGACTACAATTCAGTGAAATTTTTTAAAGTATACAGGAAGATTTGAGTTACCGATGTTTAGCTGTATTTCATCTTAAAATGTGAACCTCACAGAAAACACCGCATCATAGACGGCCCGCATGCTTACTGGCCATTGTCTAGTAATGGCTGCCTCTCATTGCTCTGCTATTCACCTTGCAGCCATTGTGTCACACAATATGTCTATGATTATGAAGAATTTGAACGATGTAGCAAGTTGTTGATTGAATATACAAAGGCTTTCAGTTAATAGCATCTGAGGGTGTTTTAGACTTACGCTCATTACTTCAACAAAGATGTCAGAGAAAGGGAATACGGAATAATGGGAAAATCCTAGGTTTTCCCAAACATTTACCAGCAGAGCAATGGAGGCGTTTGTTCCTGTGGTAATATAATCTTTTCAGTTCCAGCAGAAAAGAAATTAGGTCTCAGCAATGCACCTTGGCTTTCACCTTATGTCCTGTTTTCTTTTACTCATCCCCATTGCCCAGGAACAGAAGAAGGAGAGCGCTGTCTGCATCCAAATGTAGCTTCAGCAACTACTTTCCTGCAGACTCTGGAAATGTCTTGCCCACCCATCATTAAGTGCTTAGCAGTTTCCATTTCTGAGGATTGCTGAAGAGCCATGATGAGATGGTAGTTGATTTGTGCCAGTGGGTGCAAATACAGCCATTATTTCTTCTCTGTGGGAATCAAATGTAATGTTTCACAGGGGCAATTACTCAGTGGGCCTAATTGGCAGTTATGGTGAGATGTAGAGAGTCAGTCCTTATTCCATGTCATGTTGGACATCCATGAGAAAACAATAAATAATCGTGTAAGGCACCTTCAGATGATAGTGAACAGCCTACATAAGTTGAAGTAATATTAATTATTCCATATGTACAGTAGGTTCTCACTTGAATTTACATGTGCACACTCACAGAACTCTCTGCCTCCCCTCATTTCGCACACATTAACTAGAATGCCAGCATGTAGATCAGTGCTGTCCAACGTTCCTATGTACTCGGGCACAATTCACTGATGCCTATGGAGGTGCGGGCACCACCACACGCTACTACTAGTACTTCTACTACTACTACTACTACTACTACTACTAATAATAATAATAATAATAATAATAATAAAAACAATAATAATAATAAAATTTTTCAAAAATATTTAACAGTACTCAGATGTTCAAAAATGTCTCTTGTCTTAAAATTTGAATTAATATTAAAAATCGGCTCAATTATATGTGGTTATGGAGGGCGCCAGAAAAATTTACCATGGGCCGCGTTGGACAGGGCTGATGTAGATAATTCAGAGCAGTGAAGTATTATTTGAATGTAAGTGGAGTTGTGTGATTACTCTTGCAGAGCACAGAGACTATGGGTCACTCATCGCCATGCTGGTCAAGAGGAGAGAAGAGAGCATCCCATTGCTCCACACCTCATTTTGATGATTATGAATCACATGAGAGTGGACCTAGTCAGAGCAAACGTCGTCATCGTGCCAGTCCTCACAGGCAAGTTTTTAATGTTTAGAATCATACGTATAAGACATGCCAGGCCACCAGCTCATTGGTAAAGATGAAATTGGCCCAATGCATAAGCACCACAAACAATGTGCCATTGTCTTCTATGGGGAAATACATGAAAACTTAAGACAGCAGTCCACTGCATATCTCCTTTTACATCATTTCAGTATTGTAGCGCAGTGTGGTGTAGATCATGTGTAGATTTGTGGCTTTAACCCTTTGACGTGGTCATTTAAATTCCGCGGCCGCGGCTCCTGCGGTAATATATTCAGCGGGCCATTTAAATTTTGCTCGAAAATTATTTATTCATCATTGTTCTTAAATTCTATGAGATAGGAACATGAAACTTTCACTAAAATGATCTTAAATGGTGGTTTTATAACCTTACCTTATAATATGGGCGCCCTGTATCTCGGCCATGGAAGCAGGTTGTTTAGTATTT